GCCCCACTGTACCAGTAAAACCTGTCCCTTCTCCCAGTCCCTCCTCACGGCCCCCAGCAGCCTCTCCCTCCCCAGCCGGTGCGGGGCGGCGGGGTGGTCCCGTGGGACACGGGGTGGCCTCAGCTGCGACGCTGTCCCTGCGCTGGGTGTAGGAGGAAGCTGGTGCAGGTGACTCACGCGGGTAGGGAGGTGCGTGTGGGCTCGCTGCCCCGGTGGGTGCCAAGGTGGGTGCCAAGGGCCTGGGCGTGCGCCCGTGCAGCACCGTCCCGAGCCGCGGCCCACGCCAGCACCCGCATCTCCCGACGCAGCCAGAAGGCAAAGGCGCGATTGCCACTGCCAGGGAGAGCTGCCCGCGTCGGGGAGAGCCCGTGGCCCCGGGCAGGGCTGCAGGTGCCAACGCCTGAACCTCCGCCAGCAGCCTCCCTGGCGTTGTGGGCAGAGGCGGTTACTAAAAGTTTCCATGGGGCTGACGCTGTCTGATTAAAAGGAGAAGATTCCTTCCTCTGCCCGCATGCCCGCTGCCTCCTCCCCTGCCCGTGAAGGCACCTCAGCCCCGGGGGGGGGTCCTGCCCCAGCCCCCCAGCCCCAGAGGGGAATGGGCTTCCCTGCTGACGCGTGTTATGGGTGGCAGCGCCCAAATTCCCACCTGCTGCCGGTGGCTGTGTCTGGTCTGGGATACATGAGGGGTCTCTGGATACCGCAGCCCCCCACCCAGCACAGCCTCACTCTGTGCCCGCAGCGTGGCCGGGCTGATCCCAGCTCCCCCCGCAAGCGTGGCACAGCCTGTGCCATCTCACCCGGCATCTCCCTGACGGGAAAGGAGCCGCTTTCCCAGGAAAGGAGCCGCTTTCCCAGCCCTGCAAGGGGTCACAGCCCCAGGCTGGGGTGGGCAGAGCCGGCCGTGAGCTGCTGCCAGCCCGATGGTGCTTTGCGTGTGCGTGGCAGCGGGCACGGGGCTGCCCGGCACCAGCAGACCCAGCACAAGCCTGCGGGACAGAGGAGCCAGCGTGGCGAGGCTGGGATCCCCTCGCTCTCGGCTCACAGCCCACAGCCCACGAGAGTCCCCCGGGGGCTCTCAGCCAGCAAGGGGCGGGGGGGCCCTCGTCCTCCCCCACAGCGGAGACCCCCCCGAGTCCTGACTGTGCTCTCCTCCTCCTCCCCTCGCCCCATGTGGCTCAGCGGGAGCAGCACCCATTGCTGTCCCACCCACTGTCCCCACCTCTTGGCGCCAACGCCGGGTGCAATCCTGGACCTGCACACACCAACAGCATTGCCCGGGCAGATCCGAGCCGGCGTGGCCGCGCTCGCGCTGACATCATGGAGCTGGTGCCTGTTGGGACCTTTCCCCGGAGATGGGCGGTGAGCCTGGAGCACAGCTGGGACAGAGGAGCCCTCGCCAGGGAAGGGTGCTGGCCTGGCCTGGGGGGGCATGGGACGAGCAGGAGTGGGCACACAGGGGCACAGACCCCCCTGGGAGAGGCTGGTTGGGCAGCAAGCGAGCCCCGGGCACAGCACCCACCATCGCTGTCACCCTGCGCTTCACTCCGGGGTGGGGTTACACTGGTGACGCGGGGCAGGACGTGGGGCTGAGCCCCAGGCAGCGAGATGTGGCTGGTTCCCACTGTCCCCCTCCGTGAAGCTGCCGCGGGGGGGTCAGCGTGGCACTCTGCACTGGTGCCAGGGGCTCTGCCTTCAGGGATGGGGCTCACTGGGGGATAAGGAGCCGCCTCTGCTGCCCCAGCGTAGCAGGGCCAGGCTCCTCACTCCTCAAACCTGCTCCAAGCCCAGCGGGACTCGCCTCCAGCCCACGGACCGAAGGGTGCCGGGCGCGGGCACGGCGAGCCAGGCCGTGGGCACTGAGGCTCCTCCTCAGCAGTATGTGCCGCAGTCACAGCCCCGAGGAGGTTGCTGCTGGCCACAGCCCGTACTCGGCCACAAGCACCTCCTGGTGTGCCCAGCCCAGCACACAAGGGCCTCCTGCTCCCTCCAGCACTACAATTTGCTTGTGTAATGCGTTGTCGCTGAGCCCGGGAGCTTTCCAACCAGGCAGGCCCGTGGCCTCTCCTCCCGCTGGCCCCCTCCCGATGCTTTCTGAGCCGTGCAAGGAGGGCAGATGCCCCCTCTCAGTGCAGCCGTGGGCACCAGGCACAGAACCTCCAGGGCTGCTGCTGGGTGCCCGGTGGCTCCAGCCGCTGTTGAGCGGTGCTGCGGTGGGGAGGGTCCCGGGGCACCAGGCTGACCCCTGGCCCTGGCAGAGGGGACCAGCCTTTCTGCCTGACTCGGGGTTTGCTCATCCCTGCGCCAGCGTCAGAGCTGCCGAGCACAACCCTCTGGGGGTTGTGGCTTTTGGCTGATGCTCTTCCCCGAGCCCCGCTGCCCTCCAGCCCTCTGAAGCACTGCACAAGGCTTTTGTACAGGGGTGAGCCCCACACAAACTGTTGGCCAAAGGCATGTGACAGCTGGGGGGGGCTTTACTCCTTGCAGGAGCCAGGCCTGGCTCAGCCCAGCCCTCCACAGGTCCCACCGGTGCTTCTGCTCCAGGCTCTCTCTCACGCTGGGATGTCTGGGCACACCCAGCAAGTCTAGCTGGGGAAGCAGAGGGTGCTTGCCTCTGGCAGGCCTAGCTCAGCATGTCAGGCTCAGGGACAAACACACTCCCCTGAACATGTTCAGCCTTTGGCTGCTCCTTCCTCCTGCCCTTCGGTATTTCTTTTTCCTCTTTTCCCTGCATTTCTCATGCAAACCCTAGAAAAGCTGATTTCTCAGTGAGCGTTCCCATTCTCTCCCCCTTCTCCAGAGAGTCTTGCCAGCTGTGAAAGGAGTGCAGCGGGAGGATGGAGAGCAGGCCGGCAGTGAATGGCCATGCTGCCCCCATCTCTCACCAGGAAGACCTGGCCGGAGCAAACCACTTGTGCCAGGACGTTTCGCCTCGCAAACAGAAAAAAGCAGCTGACGGGGATGTGACTGTGACGGGTGCTTCTAGTCCGTCCTCGGAGGCAGCTGGCAGCATTGCTGGAGTGTATGTAGAGGCTTCAAGGAAGATAATGAGCTTTTATGATGCCACCAGAGAGCACCTCTTGAGTTTGGATTCAGCGCTCTGTCTTCTTGAGGCCCAGGCAGCCACAGGCTTCATCACCGACCCGGTGAAGAACAGGCAAGTGTCCGTAGCAGAAGCCGTGCAGCTGGGGCTGGTGGGGCTGGAGCTGAAGGAGAGGCTGCTGGCTGCAGAGAAAGCTGCCACTGGCTTTGTGGACCCCTACACAGAGGAGAAAATCCCCCTCTACCAGGCGATCCAGAAGGATCTGATCGGGAGGGAGCAAGGTACCCGCCTGCTAGAGGCCCAGATGGCAACTGGGGGCATCATTGACCCAGGCACTGGCTGCCGGATCCCAGCAGATGTTGCCTGTGAGAGGGGATATTTAGATGAAGAGATGAGCCAGCTCCTCTCTGACCCCAGCAAAGGGGACAGCAAAGGGTTCCTCAACCCCAGCACTATGGAGAGAGTCACCTATAGGGAGCTTATAAAGGGCTGTGTTGTTGATCCGGCCTCGTGCCTCCTCCTCTTGCCCCTGCAAACCATGTTCCGAGGGCTGGGAGGGAGGGTGAGCAGCAGGGATCTGCTGGACTCTGGCATCATCAGCCCTGACACATTCAGAGGTCTTGAGGAGGGAAGAGTTTCTGCCCAGGAGGTGGCGGAGAACGACTCCGTTCAGCAGTTCCTGCATGGGACGAGGAGCGTGGCTGGTGTTGTCCTGCCTTCCGGTGAGCGGAAAAGCCTTTACCAGGCCCTCAGAGAGCATCTCCTCGTGCCCGGTGCTGCTCTGATGCTCCTGCAAGTCCAGGCCTCCACTGGCAGCCTGACAGACCCCGTAAAGAACAAAAGCTACTTGGTGGATGAGGCCGTCAGGATTGGCCTCGTCGGCCCAGAGCTTCATGAGAAACTGTCTTCAGCTGAGAGGACCATCACTGGATACAGGGACCCCGCCACTGGAGAAATGCTCTCTCTGTTCCAAGCCGTCCGGAAGGGCTTCATCCCCCAGGATCATGGCGTTTGCCTTCTGGAAGCTCAGATGGCCACAGGGGGTATAATTGCTCCGGGCAGGCACCTCCGTGTGCCCACAGAGATGGCTTGCAGGTGGGGGTACCTGGACGAGGCCACGAGGCAGCTCCTCTCCAGTCCTACCGATGCCGTGAAAGGGTTCTTCGACCCCAGCTCCAAGGAGAAGGTGACCTACGCAGACCTGCTCAAGCTCTGTGTCACTGACCCCAACACGGGGCTCCTGCTGCTGCCGCTTGATGGAGACAGCATGGGAGGACCCGAGGGGACCCACCTCTTCTTTGACCGTAGCACCCAAACAGCTCTGGAAAACACAGAGGTGCCCATCGCTTTAGGTAAATTCAAGGGAAAGTCAGTGTCTCTCTGGAAACTCCTCTTCTCAGACTACATCGAGAGCGAGCGCAGAGCTGCTCTCGCCCAGCAGTACCTTGCAGGAACGCTCTCTACGCAAGAACTGGGTAAGGCAGCCAGTGCTACCGCTGAGGAAACGGCTTCCACGGCTAACGTCACCTTTGAAGGACTGAGGGACCGCGTGACAGCTGACCAGCTCCTGAGCTCTGAAATTATCAACAAAGATTTGTTTAAGAAACTGAAGGAGGGAGAAACATCAGCCAAAGAAGTTGTCAGCATGGACACTGTCAAGAAGTACCTTCAAGGGACGGGCAGCATTGGAGGGCTGCTGCTTCCCGACTCCCAGGAGAAGATCAGCATCTACCAGGCAAAGCGGAAGGGACTTTTAAGGCCGGGAACGTCGCTGATCCTCCTGGAGGCACAGGCTGCCACCGGGTTTATCATTGACCCAGCTGCCAACAAAAGGTATTCTGTGGACGAGGCTTTGAGAGCGAACATCATTGGCCCAGATGTTTACGACAAGCTCCTGGCTGCAGAGAAATCGGTCACTGGCTACAGAGATCCTTACTCAGGGAACAAGATCTCCCTCTTCCAGGCCATGAACAAAGAGTTCATCGTCCGGGAGCACGCCATCCGCCTGCTCGAGGCCCAGATCGCCACCGGCGGCATCATCGACCCCGTCAACAGCCACCGCATCCCTGTGGAGGTGGCCTACAAGCGTGGCTACTTCGACAAGAAGATGAACTTAATCCTTTCTGACCCCAGCGATGACACCAAGGGCTTCTTCGACCCCAACACCCACGAGAACCTCACCTACCTGCAGCTGAAGGAGAAGTGCATCACGGAGCCGTCCACGGGGCTCTGCCTCCTTCCTCTGAACAGCAGGAAGCGCCAGTTCATCGATGAGGCCACCAGACGGGTGTTCAGGAGCTCCTGGCTGCCCGTCAGGTTTGGGCGGTTACGGGGGGAGAAGGTCTCTGTGTGGGACCTGCTGAACTCCGAGTACTTCAGCGAGGGGAGGCGCCGGGAGATCTTTAACCACTACCAGCTGAGGAAGCTCACCCTGGAGCAAATCCGCATCATGTTAGAGGAGGAAATGAAAAAATGGGCCCCCATCAAGTTCCCAGCCATGAGAGGCAGCGTCAGCGCTTACCACCTGATGGAAACAGGCATCATCGACAAGGCCCTGTTTGAGAAGGTGTTGGAGGGATCCGTCACACCTGAGGAGGTCCTGCACATGGACTCTGTCAGAAAGTACCTGTATGGCTCTGGCAGCATCGGGGGCATCGTCCTCCAGCCATCAAACCAGAGGATAAGCATTTACGAGGCCATGAAGCAAAACATCATGGTACCAGGAGTAGCTCTCCCACTGCTCGAGGCCCAGGCTGCCACGGGCTTCATCATTGACCCTGTGAACAACCAGAAACTCTGCGTGGATGATGCCGTCAAGGAGGGAGTCATCGGGCCCGACGTCCACGAGAAGCTGCAGCATGCAGAGGGGGCCGTAACAGGCTATAGTGATCCTTTCACAGGCAAGAAGATTCCGCTCTTCCAGGCGATGAAGAAAGGGCTGATCGCAGACAAACAGGCCCTGCAGTTGATGGAGGTGCAGATGGCTACAGGAGGCATCATCGACCCGACGTGTGGCCACTGCATCCCCATAGAATCTGCCCAGAAGCGAGGGTGCTTGGATGAGGAGACGTGCAAGGCCCTTTCTAGGCCCAGTGACAACAGCGGGGCCTTCAGCGTCCCGGACAGCAAAGAGCCCCTCACCTATGCTGAGCTGATCAAGCGCTGCCAGAAGGACGAGATCTCCGGCTTCCACCTGCTGCCTCTGCCACAGGCAGCAGCTCCTGCCTACACCGACGAACAAATCCAAAAGATTTTCAAGGAAACTGCGGTGAAGGAAAAAGGGGTGTCCCTCTGGGAGCTAATCCACTCCGGGTACTTCACCGAGGAGCAGAGGTGTGACTTTGTGGAGAGGTTCCGGTCTGAGGAGATGTCGCTGCAGCAGCTGGTTGCTCTTGTGCTCAGGCTGGTTGGGGAGATGGAGCTGAAAGCCCGCACCCAGATCACCCTGGAAGGTTTGCGGGGCAGCGTCCCTGCAGTCTGGCTGCTGGATGCCGGCATCCTTACCGAGCAGACGTTTGAAGAACTGGCTCAGGGCAGAAGAGCTCCCAAGGACGTGGCTGCGATGGAGAGCGTGAAGAGGTACCTGCAGGGCACGGGCAGCATCGCTGGGGTATTCATAGAGGCATCTCAAAAGAAGATGAGCTTTTACGATGCCATGAAGAACAACCTCCTCCTCCCCGGGGCTGCCCTGAGGCTGCTGGAGGCTCAGGCAGCCACAGGATACCTGACTGACCCAGCAACAGGCCAGAGGCTCAGCGTGAGGGATGCTGTGAAAGCCGCTGTTGTGGGCGAAGAGCTCACTGAGAAACTCCTTCTAGCTGAGAGGGCGGTGACCGGCTACACAGACCCCTACACGGGGAGCTCCATCTCACTGTGCCAAGCGCTCCGGAAGGAGCTGATTCCCCTGGAAGATGCTGTTCCCTTGCTAGAGGCCCAGCTGGCCACAGGAGGGGTCATCGATCCCATCCACCACCATCACCTTCCGCTCCAGGCCGCACGCAGATACGGCTTCTACGACGAGGGCCTGAACCAAACCCTCTCTCAGCTGAATGACAGCACCAAAGTCTTTTTTGATCCAAACACAAAGGAGAATATGACCTACCAGCAGCTGAAGGACAGGTGCATTCATGAGGCTGAGTCGGGTCTCTGGCTCCTTCCTCTGTCAGAAAATGCGATGTTCTGTGTGGATGATCAAACCATGGAGGTGTTGAAATCTGTGACTGTCTGTGTCAACATAGGGCGGTTCAAAGGACAGACAGTGTCAGTCTGGGACCTTCTCAACTCTGAATACCTCTCAGACAGGAAGAGAAGAGAGCTAGTGCAAAAGTACAAAGATGAGAATACCGAAGTGCTACAGGAAATCATAACAATTGTCACCACGATCATCAAAGAGACTGAGACACAGGGCAAGAAGTTTGCGTTCAAGGGCCTGCGGAAAAGAGTATCCGCCAGTGACCTCTTCCAGTCTCAACTGATCGACAAAAAAACCCTCGATGAGCTCAACCAGGGGAAGAAAACAGTCCAAGAGGTCACTGAAATGGAGTCTGTCCGCAGGTACCTGGAGGGCAGCAATTTCATAGCAGGGGTCCTCATACAGCCAAGCAATAAGAAGATGAGCATCTACCAGGCCATGAGGAAGGGCATCCTGAGGCCAGGGACAGCCCTGGTGCTGCTGGAGGCGCAGGCTGCCACCGGCTACATCATCGACCCAGAGAAAAACAAGAAATTCTCAGTGGAGGAAGCCTTAACTGCAGGTCTGATTGGAGGAGAGATCTTTGAGAAGCTACTCTGTGCAGAAAGAGCTGTGACGGGCTACACAGACCCCTACACAAAAGCCCCAATGTCCCTCTTTGAAGCGATGAACCAAGGACTGATTGTGAAGAGCCACGGCATCCGCCTGCTCGAGGCCCAGATCGCCACCGGCGGCATCATCGACCCCGTGCACAGCCACCGCCTGCCCGTGGAGGTGGCCTACCAGCGCGGCTACTTCGACCAGGAGATGAACCAGATCCTCTCCGATCCCAGTGACGACACCAAGGGCTTCTTCGACCCCAACACCCACGAGAACCTCACCTACATGCAGCTCCTGGAGAGATGCGTCCAGGATTCAGAGACTGGGTTGTACATGCTACAGGTTGTACAGGAAGGAGGAAAGTACTTCTACATCGATGAGTTTACAAAACAGGTTTTGCGCTCCAAGCCCCTTAAAGTGGAAATTGGAAAGTTTAAGGACCAGACAGTTTCCATCTGGGAAATTCTTTGCTCTCATTACGTCTCTGAGCAGAAAAGGAAAGAACTAGTGATGCAGTACAAATGCAGAACCCTAACGCTGGAAGACCTTATAGCCCTCATCTTCAAAATAATTGAGGATACGGAGCAAAGAGCAGAAGCCCTCAAGGTTAAAGGATTCCGTGAGGATGTGTCAGTATCAGAGTTGTTTGACTCTGAGATCATTGACAAGAAAACCCTCGATCAGCTGCAGGATGGAAGCCTCACCCTCACCAGCCTCACAAAGAGGGACACCGTCAGGAGATACTTGGAGGGCACTGGATGCATTGCTGGAGTTCTACTCCCTTCCAGGAAGGAGAAGATGAGCATCTACCAGGCCCTGAGGAAGGGCCTGCTCACGGAGCAATGTGCGCTGGGGCTGCTGGAGGCGCAGGCTGCCACTGGTTTTCTCATCGACCCCCTGAAAAACAAGCAGCTCTCCGTGGATGAGGCCGTCTCGTCCGGGCTGGTGGGGAGCAACTTGCACAAGAAGCTGCTGTTGGCAGAGAAAGCTGTGACGGGATACACAGATCCTCACACAGGAAATAAAATATCCCTCTTCCAGGCCATAAGGCAAAAGATAACAGCCAAGGAGCACGGGACCCGCCTGCTGGAGGCCCAGCTCGCCACCGGCGGTGTCATCGACCCCGTGCACAGCCATCGCCTGCCCGTGGAGGTGGCCTACCGCCGCGGGTGCTTGGATGATGACATGTTTCTCCTGCTTTCTGATCCAGATCATGGAAGCAAAGGTTTTATAGATCCGAACACTCATGAGAAAATCAGTTACAGTCAGCTCCTGCAGAGATGTTCCAAAGACAGAGATACTGGATTGTACCTGCTGCAGGTCATGGAAAAAGACGATGACTACTTCTACATTGATGAGCAAACAAAAAATGCCCTTTTATCTGCAAAGGTGAAAGTGCCTGTTGGAAAATACAAAGGTCATGTATTATCACTGTGGGAACTTCTCTGTTCTGAGTACATCACAGAAGAGAAGAGAAAAGAACTGGTGAAAAAATATAAAGAGGAATCTCATCACATTCTACAAGGAATCATTGATACAATACTAAATATCATCAAGGAAAAAGAAGAGGACAGAAGTGATGTCTGGTTCCAAGGAATCAGGCAACAAATAACGGCATCAGAACTTCTCAGCGCACAGATAATCACAGAAGAAACAATGGAGAAACTGCATGAAGGGAAAGAAAAAGCAGAGGAAATAGCACAAATGGATACTGTCAGGCGATACCTTGAGGGAACTGGCTGCATCGCGGGCGTGCTGGTGCCCTCCAAGGCCGACCCCGCCACGATGGAGAAGATGAGCATCTACCAGGCCATGTGGAAGGGCATCCTGAGGCAGGGCACGGCCCTGGTGCTGCTGGAGGCACAGGCTGCCACCGGCTTCATCATTGACCCGCTGGCCAACAAGAAGCTCTCCGTGGACGAGGCCGTCTCGTCCGGGCTGGTGGGCAGCGAGCTACAAAAAAAACTTGCTTGTGCAGAAAAAGCCGTGACAGGCTACACCCACCCCTACACAGGACAAAAAATGTCACTCTTCCAGGCCATGAAGAAGGAGCTCATCGTCAAGGAGCACGGCATCCGCCTGCTCGAGGCCCAGATCGCCACCGGCGGCATCATCGACCCCGTGCACAGCCACCGCCTGCCCGTGGATGTGGCCTACCAGCGCGGCTACTTCGACCAGGAGATGAACCAGGTCCTCTGCGACCCCAGCGACGACACCAAGGGCTTCTTCGACCCCAACACCCATGAGAACCTCACCTACATGCAGCTCCTCCGCCGCTGCGTGCCCGACCCGGACACGGGGCTGCTCATGCTGCAGCTGATGGACAAGGGCTCCGTGCTCCACCAGCTGACCGAGGACGCCCGCAAAGCCCTGCAGGCCGCCCGCACCACCCTCAGCGTGGGGCTCTTCCAGGGCCAGAGCGTCACCGTCTGGGAGCTCCTCTTCTCCCGCTACGTCCCCGATCACCAGAGAGAAGAGCTGCTGAGGAAGTACAAGACAGGGACGGTCACCATCTCAGAGATGATCACCCTCCTCACCGCCATCGTCACCGGGGCTGAGGGACAGGGCCACGGAGGGTCACAGACCTGCAAACCAAGGCAGCTGGAGGCGCCTCCAAGGGCTGAGAATGGTGAGACTGTGGGCTCCCAGAAGAGTCGGGAGCAAGAGCTGGAGCAGGCCCTGAAGACCCACACCATCGAGGTCTCTGCGGGCAGCTTCCACGGCCGGAAGGTCTCCCTGTGGGAGCTCCTCTTCTCCACGTACGTCTCGGAGGCAAAGAGGCAGGAGCTGCTGGGGCGGGTGCGGGCCGGGAGCCTGGCGCTGGACGCGCTGGCCGGGCTCCTCACCGCCCTCGTCGGGGAGGCGGTGGAGCGGAGCAGCAAGGTCAAATTCACAGGCTTCAGGAGGCAGGTGACCGCCTCGGACCTGCTGGACTCGGGCATCATCGACAAGGACACACTGGCCGACCTGGTCCAGGGCTCCAAGACGGTGGAGCAGGTGACGGAAATGGCCTCGGTCAAGCGCTACCTGGACGGCACGGGCTGCATCGCGGGCGTGCTGGTGCCCTCCAAGGCCGACCCCGCCACGATGGAGAAGATGAGCATCTACCAGGCCATGTGGAAGGGCATCCTGAGGCAGGGCACGGCCCTGGTGCTGCTGGAGGCGCAGGCTGCCACCGGCTTCGTCGTTGACCCACTGGCCAACAAGAAGCTCTCCGTGGACGAGGCCGTCTCATCCGGGCTGGTGGGCAGCGAGCTGCATGAGAAGCTGCTGTCGGCCGAGAGGGCCGTGACGGGCTACACGGACCCCTACACGGGCCAGCAGATCTCCCTCTTCCAGGCCATGAAGAAGGGGCTCATCGTCAAGGAGCACGGCATCCGCCTGCTCGAGGCCCAGATCGCCACCGGCGGCATCATCGACCCCGTGCACAGCCACCGCCTGCCCGTGGAGGTGGCCTACCAGCGCGGCTACTTCGACCAGGAGATGAACCAGGTCCTCTGCGACCCCAGCGACGACACCAAGGGCTTCTTTGACCCCAACACCCACGAGAACCTCACCTACATGCAGCTCCTCCACCGCTGCATGCCCGACCCGGAGACTGGTCTATATTTCCTTAACATTTTTGCAAAGTAATTTTAAATCCTTTTTCATTTCTTACTTTTGTAATGCATTGGTCAAGATTTTAGCTTGTGACTATTTGTTTTTACTGCTGTTCGTTTCTTTTCTTCTTATTTATCCATTTAAAAAAAAAATAAATTTGATATTTCCAGTCGGACAATTTCTTTATTCTTCTCTTTCCTTTCATCAACCTCCCCACATCAGTTATAGCTTTTAAGTGACTCCCCCCAGCCTTGTGGCGCAGCGTATTAAGACTTTGTCTTCTGTGGTCTTTCAGGAATGCAGGAATCAGGCTGGGTTATCTCAGGTCATTTTGGTGAAATATATTCTCCTAATTTTCCTCATCCCATTTAAATGCATGTATGTCTTTCGTGGTGCATGAGTTGTAGTGAGAATGGTATTTTTATTCTCCCCCCAGTTTGGTTTTTTATGTATGAAGAACGTTTTTTCCTGGCAGGTTTGCAGGACATTTTTCAAGTTCCAGGTTTTCAGGCCTGAATTTTGCACGGAGAGCACGTTTCCATGTAGGCACCAGGTGACGTTGGTGCTAGGTGTCCCTGGAGCAGGACACATCATCTGTGTTTTCTCCTAGTGCCTCCACCTTCCCAGTTTTTCCAGGGGTGTCTGGACTACGTGCACGCCCAGTTTAGGGTGGTTTGGTCTCTCACTGATACTGATATGTGCACTCCGTTCACTGACATATTGTGCTTTTCACCTCTCCAGTTCTCCAGCTCTCCATGGAGCCTCTAGATCCACGCAGGAGCCGAGCGCCCCTCGTGTAAGTTGTCGTGCCGTATTTCCAGCTCACCCCTCCACGTCAGGGGAGCGGCAGATCCTTTCCCTCTACCTGGGACCTCTGCCCATTTCTCGGCTCCTTTTGCCGTCAGGTGTCCTGAGCTGACTCAGCCCACGTGCCATGCTCCTGGAGAGAAGGCAGCCCCAGAGCCACTCTGCCGTACAGTTCAGGCTGAATAATTCTACTACTCTTTAATAGAAGGAAACTTGCTCTCCTTAAACCCATTACCTTAGGCTATTTGCCTTAATTAACCCAGTAATGCCCAGAAAATGGATTTTTTTTTGCCACAGCTTGTGCAGCTGGTAGCTGGAAACAAGTGTAGATGATCCGTGGAGCTCCTTGGCAGGCTCTGATGTGTAGCCCAGAGATGTGCATGGGTTCAAAAAGTGATGGGACCACTTAGTGGGAAAGAAGTCCACGGAGGGTTGTTAAATGCAAAGACTCTGGGGTGGAGTTGTAGTCTGAGCCCTCTTCTGCCTCAGGATAGGAAGGAGAAAAATGAAGCAAAATGTTTGGGAGTCGAGATAAGGACAGAAAGGGTGATTCACCCATTATGGTCACAGGCGCAAGAGACGCTTGTTAGGGGAAGAAAAGGAAGAACTTGAATTCAAACGCTAACACCACCCCCACTTAACAGACACAGTGGGACAGCGAAAAGCATTACCACATCTTAAAAACTCCTTCCCCCACCCCTCCCTTCGTCCCAGACTCAGTTTTGCTCTGGATTTCTCTCCCTCCTCCCGCTCCGAGGCCTCGCTACCGGCTGCTGCGCCAAAGCACCCAGCTGTGCGGGCACTTGCCCAACGACACCAGGGCCGTTCCCATGGTCCTGCCCACACCAACGACCTCAGACTGTCTCCTCTTGTTCAGTCTCTAGTTCCACAGTTCCAACCTCCACCACACCTTCCACCTGGCCTCCAAGGGTCCCGTTTCCCAGCCTCCTCCTTCGTGAGCTCGTGCCTGGCCACAGAGACCCAGCAGTTAAAAGCCATTTAACTGAACCCAGCTGAAAGCTGGTGCCTTATTATTTATACATCTACTAGGATATACAAGAGAAAAGGAACTGAGGGGAAAACTCAGAGTATTCTGAAGTTCTCAGCCTCCTAGCTCTGGGCCAGACTGTCGTCTGCCAGTGTCCAGCTCCTCAAAGCCTGGCTGTTATCACCCTGTGGCACTGGATACAGAAAAAGCCACTCTCAGACAGAGATTGGGAGTGGGAGGAGCAGTGCACAAGCTGGAGAGCACAAAGGAGGACAGGGTAGGGTGCTGCAGCGCAGGTCCGATGCCAGAGCCCGGCTGCGCTGCTGGGGACCCCCCAGGACTCTGCGGGGAGCAGCTCAGGCTCTCCTCAGCAGCACTGAAGTGTCACCCTGCGGCTGGAGCTGCCTTCCCGGCAGCACGTTAGCCTGGCCCGGGTGGAGGCTGCAGGGCTGGGGCAGAAGCAGCCTGGTTAAAGACAGTCAGTTCTTCCTGGGGCAGGGGAACAAGGGCCTCCGTGGCCAGAGGGACCATCGCGGGAACAGGCACAGACTTCAACAGCCCGCAGCAAGCAGTACCCGCAAGAAATTCCCATCCCAGATTGAGCCATGAATCCTGGCAGGGACGTGGCGGTGGTGATGATCCTCCCTGACGAGGGACCCAGAGGGTGAGCTGAGGCAAAACAAACGGGGCTTGAGATTCGGAGTCACATCGTGACTCACCTGCAGGGCAGAGGTTTCCAGAAAGGCTCGTAAGTGCTGGGGGGAGACAGTGACCATGGGCCCCACGCAGAGGCAGATGGAAGAAAGACGTTCTGGCATTAAAATGTAGGCTTCAGGCAGGGAGATGAAAGCCAGGCCCTCCATGACAGCGTTCCCTGAAACGGTCCCGGTACCCCGTGGAGGTCAGATAGTGACACAGACATGAATTCGTAAAACGGCGTTGAGGAGCTGAAGAGATGCTGTCATAAAAGTCTTGCCTCTCCAAGCAAAGGAAATCTAAACATGGTGAAAACCAGCACTGAGAAAAGGAAAAGAGCAGTTTGAAATGGAGAATTAAATATTTAATATTAAATATTTAAGCACAATACTGAAGAAAGTAAGAAACCGGGATGAATATGATACATAGGGCTGAGGAACTGGAATGCTTCACCCTCAGTGGAACCCTGGCACGCCACAGCCTTCCTGGGAGGAGGCTCGTCAGGGGGAGGCTGCATCCCCAAAGCATAAAAAGCACCGGAGCGGAGGAGGAGGGTGTGCTGGCGGCAGCGCGGGGCTGCTATCAGGGAGCTCAGAGTGGGGGCAAAGTCACAAACACACCAACAGGACCGAAATCCCAGCTCCAGGGAGCAGGGCAGGGGGAAGGCAAGCGGGCAAAAGGGCAGCGGCTCTGTGTGGAGACCGAGCTAGCGCGACAGCGTCCTCTGCACTCAGCAGGAAGGGCAGGTCCTGAGCGGGGATGTAGAAGGGTCATAAAAACATAAATGATGTGGGCAAGGCAAGCAGGGAGCTAATATTTGCTATTTTCCATAAGAACTAGGTTGTGGGGAAACAGCGGGGAAGATTTCTGCCCACAGCAGACAATTAAACTGTGGCAGTCGCTGCTGGGATGTCACGGAGGCAAAAGCTGCAAATGCTCACAGGAGAGAAAAGGCAAGGAAAAGTGAGTCCTCTTCTCAGTGAGGGGGTCACCCGTGGGGCCCAGAGGGACCCATGCTGAGAGCTGGGCTGTTCAACGCGGCCTGGAAAATGCTGTGAACCGTGAAGGAGCAGATGGTACTAAATTATTCAGTTTAGTAAAGAAAAGTGCCAGCTGCAAAAACCGCAGGAAGACCAAGCGGCACGGAGTGACTGGAATGAAAATAGCAGATTGTGCCGAAGGTAGGACGGGGACAGCAATCCTGGTGTCCACACGCCCAGCTCTGAGCTGCTACTGGCCAGCAGCGAGAGCTGTAACAGATGATTCGATGTCAGAATAAATCCGACGTGGGGATCAGGGCGGGAACACGCCCGAGCTGGGGTAACTCACGGGCTGCGTCCGGCCACAGGCGCCGCATGTGCCCCAAGAGGAGACCCGGCCCCTTCGGGGGCCGCGGCCAGGCCTCAGCTCTGTGGTCAGCGGGGCCGCGGTGCTGTAAGGCAGCGTGGAGGGAGAGCACCCACCCCCCCAGGGTACCTGCTCAAAGGGGGCATCAAGCAGGGGCTGACCGACCAGCGGTCCAGGAGGCCGCAGTTGCCCCAGTTGGTCAGGATGTGTGCAGCGAGGGGATGATTATTTTTTTCCCGATGAGGTGATAAGGAAATGGGGGGAGGCAACTCAGAGACATACAACCTGACCAATTAGCGTTAACAAAGACAATAACCAGAAACAAGCCTGGTCGGTGGCACCAGCTGATGGGCTCTCAGGGAACCGCAGGCACACCAGGACTTCTCTGCGGGGACAGACGTAACCTTGAGGGTCTCAGCACCAGCAGCTGGGTCTGGGGAGGGTCCCCCAGCCTGTGCCCCCCAAACCAGCTGCTGCGGGGGCTGGTGTGAGCGAGGGGCCCCCCACTGACAGCTGGGGCGGGGCTGCAGGTCACAGCCCCTGTGCCTGGTGCCGGCTGGTAATGGTAACAGCGCACGGCCATGAGCATCCTCCCCAGTGCTGGGGGGTGTGGGGGGGGTGTCACCAGCAAACTTTGAACTGGAGCAGGCGGTGAGTGGGGGACCCCTGGGCGAGGGACTGTGCAGGGGTGCCAGGCGGACAGAGGGGCTGTACATGGGGGATCCACGAGACCACATGTGCTTGTGAAGGCAGAGAGACGCGTGTGTGCCACACCAGTGACCCTGAGGGAGTGGACCTCGCCTTCGCTAGTAGCCATGTCACCTTCGCTAGTAGCCGTGGGGAATGATTTTGCAGCTACAGGCAATGCACATATGGGGACAATGACATGGTCCTGAAGCTTGGTCGAGTGAGACTTTGAAGCGTGATCAAGATGACCTTGATTAGCGATAATAAATTCATCAAGGATAGACTTTGATCTCCAAAGCCTGGAAAATAAACAAACGTCCTGGACCATCAGGAGAATGTCTGGGGTTGTGCTGAGGATGAATTATTTGAAAATCTGGCAGAGGGACTAAATGATTCACTAACTGGGCAATGAAAGTGACTTTTGAGTGTCCTGACAGTGAGCCACCTTCGTTGTAAGGCTGAAGGCCCTGCCCAGGTTCAGACCCTTTCCCTCAGCGTGTGTAGCCATAGAAGCATTACGTAAGCCCTATTATAAATGTACGTTAGTAGCAATCAATATCTAACAGGCGCGTTTGGAAAAGCACTAACCTCTGATTTTTGTGTGTCAAAGAAGCATGAGAACCTGTTGATGGGGTGCTTGATTTGTGGGAAAGTCCACTCAGCACCCCGGCCTGAATAAATACAGCATCTCTCCCCAGCGTGTTATGATGGGTTATTGCCCGCCGGGCACGAATCTGCTGTTTGGAGAATAACCTCGAGCCTCTGCGGCCCCGCAGGAGGAGGCTGCCTGTGCAGGACTAGACTGGGTGGTACTGGTTTGTACTGGGCAGTACTGGGCTCCAGCAGCCAGGCTGCAGGCCACATCCTGCTCTGCAAAGAGGTGCCAGGCAGGCGCTGGGCGGCTGGAGGGGCAGCTGGCAGGATGGTGCGGGGACACTGCCGGGCTCCGCTCCCGCCTGTGCTGGGAGCTGCCGCTGCTGCCTTCGGCTCGGCGGGAGAGTGCAGGTGGCGAGGCCGTAGCAGGAGTCACAGGTGCTGTGGTGACAGTGCCCGCTGTCCCTGCGAGAGCTCCTCGAAGACCTGGCGCAATGTTCCCAAGGACCGGAGCTAGTCCCCTCGGCATGGTGGAGGCCTCGGCCCAGAGCTCCGGGGGATGGATGCTGCCCCTTACGCGGGCACCAGTGGTGCTGCCAGGAGTGAGTTGGAGGATACCAACGGCGGCTGCAGAGCTCCGGGAGCAAGGACTGGCCTGAGGCTGCCCGCACTGGCAG